CCCCCCCCCCCCCCCCGGTCCCCTCCTCTTTTTGAAACATTAGAAAGATGTGGATGCAGCCATACCATAAAATGTGATGCTGTCAGGGGCATAGAGTTAAATGCAAGTTTTATATCTTTGACAAGTCTCACTTATTCCATTAAGTAGTTTTACGTTTTCTCCATAAGGCTTTTGGAATAAATATTCCCCTGAAGTGCTAAGCCCAACCATTGCTTGTACTAGTTCATGAGAGCCATTGTTTCTAGCATCCTATTTAACAAGTAAGGAGGAAATCATAAGTGTAACAAAGTAAATATACTTTTAAGTTTGTATCATCTGGAGGCAGTAAGGCTAAGAGAACTTTCACTAATGTGTTTTTAAATTTACCCCTTCTTTTTTTTAATAACAAAAGTGACAGGCTGTGAATAAGGCAAACTATTCATGTAAAAACAGTTGCTCATGGCAGCATGACAGGAGATCCAGGGCTTGTTGGCATGATGGGCTTTAGGTTGGAAATGTAAATGGCATAAATCCTTTTTCAGGATGTGATGGCAAAAAATTCGAGTTGGACAGTGGTTTAACAGTTGCCTATAATCGCTTGAAATTATTTTTGCTATTTCCAGTTGACAGCTGATACAAAGTGGTGATTTTCTTGTTAATGAGTGTTAAGGAATAGAAATCCCTTTCAAAGAAGTTGATGTGGTTTGAGGTAGCACATGGACCAAGAGAGGAAAATGGTGAAGTCAAGACAGTAAGGAAAGGCTTTGGAAAAGAAGAGGGTTGTCTCTGTAGTCTGGTTTAAAACTGGTTTTAGAAATTTAGTACCAAAAAAACCCTGGCTACTTGTTGCTGCTCTCTGTGGAGTTCTTCTGAGGGTCATGTTCTGATAACATCTTAAACTCTTTGTGATTTAATTCCTTTCAAGTATAATCTGGTGTTTAGCACAGGGGGCCGGGGGGTAAGAGTTATGGTCACTGTTCCTAGTTTTCCCATCCAAATATATTCCACTCTTCCACCCGCATCAGGTTACTCTTTGCCATGGTTTCCCTCTCTCAAATTGTATTCCACCTTATAATATTTGATGTTTACATCCTAGGATCTTGGGTTTTGCAAAGGGTTTTGTTCAGTATGGAGAGCAAATGCGACAGTAGCAAAGTGTAAAAGTTGGTGGTCTTTTTCTCAATAACTTTTGCCTCATGCTTTTGCAGATCTCTCGAATGGAATATGTGCATTCAAAGAACCTCATTTACCGAGATGTCAAGCCAGAAAACTTCCTTATTGGCCGGCAAGGCAATAAGAAAGAACATGTCATTCACATCATAGACTTTGGATTGGCGAAGGAGTACATTGATCCTGAAACCAAAAAACACATACCTTACAGGGAACACAAGAGCCTAACTGGAACCGCAAGATACATGTCCATCAATACACATCTTGGCAAAGGTCCGTTCAGTTTATGCTAACTTACTGTACTTCTTACTGTTTGTAGTAAGTGCACTGTATTCTCCAACAGCGTTACAGCCATAGGTTGACCTACATCATTCCAGTACCACTTAGATCATCTTGCAACCATTCAGTTTGTACATTTTGTGGCGTTGCTGTCTTTAGAGAGGAACTTTTTTTTTTTAGAAGCAAGATGGCTGGTATATTGGAACTAGAAACCCCGTTATGAGGGTCTTTTAAAACTGTAGGGGCAAAATGCTAAGGGATATTTGAAAGGGAACAATTCTGTGAAGGTAAGTTGAAGGACAAG